TGTGGTACATACCTGGCTTTGTTTTCCTCTCATATTTTAGAGGTCTTTAATCATAAAATACATGTATACAAGTGAAAAAATGAAAATCACATACCTAGAAACTGGTTTAAACAGACTTAATTTTTCTAGTAAAGAATTTAGGAAAGGAAGTAGATGCTGGAATATAATTTTTTCCAGTGTTTTTGGTTCTTCTTCAGGTTAATGTTTAACTTTGCTCCAAAATATGTTTAACTAAACAGACTCTATTGAAACTCTTAAGACATCTCATCTTTTATTTGCACATGTGATACCAGCTTAAAGAGAAGCTTGACTAAACTTTAAAGGATATTTTTTCGTGGTGAAAACAATTTAACCAAGACATTGCCTACTTTTACATGTCTAATAATACACATAAGCCAGTGGACAACAGTTTTTCCATTTGATCCTATGACTAAGGGAATAAGTAATTTCAAATTAAGAAAATAGTATAATCCCATTATGTATTTTTACATTTTGCTTGGCAGACTTAAATCTGCTGAATTTTTATTCTGTATAAGTAGGCTTTAAATAAACCCTGATAGTGTACATTTAGAGGATGATTTATATGAACTGTTCTTTTAATTTTATGTTCCATATTCTTTGATGTATTCAGTACACTCACTTAAGTGAACAACATTTATAATATACTGCATCACCAGAATTTCTGTGTCTGGGAAATTATGTGCAGTAGCAAATATATTACACTTTTTTTTTTACAAAGATATTCAAAGTCATTATCTTTATAAACCTAAGTTAACTATACTTTTCAGAATAGATTACAATTAGCTAATTTTATTTCTTTCTTCAACATGAGAGAATATGTAAATGAACACCTTGTGTTAGCTTTAAAAGAATCATGACTTGATATTCTTTAAGTTTAAAATCCATGCATCAATTAAATAGAAATCTTTAGGTCCAGCTTAAATCTGTGTGTGGTAGGTTAATCTGAATTGTAGTCATAGTCATAGTGAAGCCCATCTGCAGACAAAGGATGTCAGGTGAGGTTTCTGGAGAGGTCTGGATTCATATTCCTCTTTGCTCTTTCTTTGTTTGCCACATGGTTCTTAGTGGGAGCCACTGCTCTCCCTGGAAGACTTTACTAGCCATGTTCTTGGAGTTTAAATGTGGAATGCCTATTAGTTACTCATTAAAAAAAAACAACAACAAATTCATGCTAGTTAATTAAATCCTAAAATACCATGTTGCTTCTGGCCTTAAAGTAATGTTGAAGAATAAAAACCATCGATGAAGATCAAGTGGCTGTTCAGGATTCTCAGTATCACCTTTTCATAATATCAGCCCAACCAACTAATTTCACATGAAAAATACAATGAATTGATTAATCGTAAGTACTTAACCACGTTTATTTGATGTTTACATGGTAGAAGCTAATGTAGTGGTGTCCGTTTGAGTATTTTTCCAGTATACTCCAGAATGTGCAGTTTCTCTTATCTCAGGGAACAGCACCTTGATTTATCCAGTTGTTCTGGTTAAACTGGACATGGTCATTGCATTTTTTCCCCTATTTCTCCTCTCTTTCTGTTGCTATAGAGTGACAGATACTATATTAATAACGTAATAGAGCATTCTTGTACTTAATTTTATGGGCGCCTATTAAGGTATATTCTATCCTCTTCCCTAAAGTTGACATAGTTGAGTTTAATTGACTTGTTTGTGGCAAGGTTCATAGTTACAGATTCAGAACATTCTGTGGTGCCACAGATGCTATACGTCCATTATGAGAATTGATTACTCTAAGGGCCAAACACATGTGCTTTGTTCTTTTGTTTTCATTTTTCTTTTTCTTTCTTTCTTTCTTTCTTTCTTTCTTTCTTTCTTTCTTTCTTTCTTTTTTTTTACTTTAGTACATACAAATAACGTTAAGCACAAGTCTTTGGTACTGTGACTGGAAACAGACAGTGCATTCTGTGGTTAGATGTTTCTTGCACGCATTTTGGAAAGCATTGGAGAATTCTGATAGGATCTGATGTGCTTTAAACAGGGTTAACTTGACTGACAAATAGACTGATAGGGTAGAGGCAAAGGAAATGAAGGAGGCTTTCTGTAATCTCAGCAAGGGGTGATGATTACTAAACTGACAGGAAATCTTGCACTTTATTCCTTAGGCACCTTTGCCAGTTCCTCCTGTAAGTGCTGACAGACACTGGATTGGGATGACTTTAAAAGTGGAGCCCGTGGTATTTTCTGATGACTTGATGCATGGGAGAGAGGAGAGAAAGGGGAAAAAAGACGCAAGAATGATTTCAAGGATTTAGCCCAAAAAATTGAGTAAATCAAGGTGCTGTTCTCTGAGACAAGAGAAACTGCACATTCTGGAGCAAAAAGGAAAGTGTATGGGAAATCTGTGCCTAGTCCTTGTAAGTTTCAGCCCACCAGGGGCTAGTGTCTATTCATGACAACAGGATGAAGTCAGAGTGCAATGTGAGAGCCATGCTGAAGTGCTTAGCTTGGGTGAGAATGCCTTGATACAGAAGAGCCACCCCAGAGGTTGGAGGTAGCTGAGCATTGACAACAAGGCTGCCATGAACCCTGAGGAAGAGGATCCAGGGATCAGCACGAAGGAGGAGGTGATCCAGTGGAGCAGTTTAGAAAGAGATGAAGTGAGGCAAGTGTGGGAAATGCTTCCTTCTCAATGCATTTGAGGGTTTGGTAGTGGTCGCTCCTCAGTGACCCCGACAGACCGTTTGATTTGAGAGGATTCTATAGCTTAGAACAAGCAGGAACGTTTTTAACCACTCGCTTAAAAAATGCCTTAATCTCTCTCCATTTTATGTTTCTAGAATAGACAATGTGTCATGCAGTTGTTACATAAGTTTGGGCATATTATCCTAAACTGATATATTCAGGTATTTTAGGCAGTTGCATAAATACTGACATTAATTCCTTTAAATTCCAATGATACTTACCTGAATGCCAATTAAGGGTTATTAACAAAAAAATATTTTAATCTTTGTTGGTATCATGTAGAAATTTACTAGTTGTACAATATGAAGCAAAAAATTAAATTCCTAAGTTCCATTTTATCATAAGGAGATGACATGTAACTACATTTTTTTTTTGCTAGTTAAAGGATTAAAATAGGAAATCATATATTCTTATCACATATTTAGCAAATAACAGCATACTATAACAAAAGCCCAAGTTTTGAATCACAAAGACCAAAGATTTCTTCATCTCTCATCTATAAAATGCTGTAATAAACCAGTTTACTAATATTATAGGACTCCTGAAATTTCTCTGTATGTTTCATGTGGAATTCTTAAGTACCTCGAACAGCATAAGCAGACCATAAATAGTAGCTAGTACTATACTCTTGTGGATATAACTGTTATAACTATGATTAAATTAGTAAAAAAATAAATAAAATAAAACCATCTGCTTTAATTGTAGCCAAACATGTCAACAATACTTTTTAGTATCTTATTTGCTTTGCTGGTTTTTTTTTTCTTTTAATAATTTCACCACTTTCATGTGTTTGTGAGGATCCAGGCCTATATGATCATCAGTGAGATTATTTTGTCAAAGTTATAATAGTGGCCATATGAGAACGTTAAATAGAGTCAGAAATGAATATAAATGATAGGACTTTAGAAATAAGTATATTAAATGAGAAGTGACTGATAAAGGGCTTTCTGAGACTGTGCTTAAAGAATGAAGATAGCAGCACACCTACAGATAAGGCCATGTACTGTGAAATACTTAGAGTGAGACAGAGAAACAAAGATGATTTAGATCAGGATTTTATACACACACACACACACACACATATGTATATATATGGAATAGACATGATAGCTCAGCAAGTAAGACTCTTGAAGAGCATGTCTGGAGACCTGCTTTTGAACCCTGGACCCGACACAAAGGTGGAGGAGGAAGGAAAGAACTGACTCCATAGAGCTGTGCTCTGACTTGCACAGGTGTCTCTAACATCATTTCTCCACCCACCACATGTTGTGTGCACCACCAACAATACAGAGTACCAAGACCAACACTGACGACAAAATACAGATGTTTCTTCGGAAAAACTTGCAGAAGCATCTGATTGAGCTCTTGATTTGAGTGATGAAAGAATACTGAATTTATTTTATGGTTTATCCAGGAGTGAACCAGGAAGGAATAACTGGTTCCTAAGCCTGCTCCTCATTAGCACACAGTGAGCTCTGCTGTTTGTTGTTGCAAAATAAGATTGAACAGAATACACTAGGTGACCTCTTAGGACTCAAATACAATCATGTACTATATATGATATAAAAATGAGGATTCATATTTGTATTGCAGTATGCTATTTTTTTTCAGTGTGGAAAACTTGAGACAAGGACCATTAAACAACTCTCTAGAAAGGGTAACTCCTTGGGGACAGGAGCGATAGGGGGTAGAGAGGACAGGGGAGACCATTTGGGATGGCTCGTCAGAGCAGAGTACAGTGATATATATATGAGAAGGTCATAATGAAGGCTGTATGTATTGTATGCTGACTGAAAATATTAAAGAGAATAAGCGCATGGCAGAAAGCATCCATAAGGGATGATAAGAGAGTGCTTTAGGGTTAGAGATGTGCGCCTTGTAAGGTTAACTCCTTCTTCCAAATATTAGGAATGTGGGAAACAATGAATGGATGTTTTGCAGGTCAATTTTAAAGCAATAAACAGCAAAGTTAACTAGTGTGATAGCTAACTTAGGCTGCCCAGTGTCTTTACAAGGAACTCTTGTAGCGCCACTGCTGTCTGTGTTGTGTGTGTGGTAAAGTTGTTAAGTTTATACATGTGAGATAACTTTTGTATATCAGGTTGTTTTCTATAGTTTATGATAACATCCAATGTATTCACAGTTAACTACAATTTATTCAAAAGATTTATAAATAGGAACTTAATTGGTAGGTGACTGTATAGGTTACATACCTGACAAAACTGTGAAACAATTACTGTCCACCATTTGTAAGCTTTTGTTTTCTTCCTTTACAGAGCTACATCCATGGAAGCAGCCAGGCTCAGTTTGTGGCAGAGTCACACATCATTCTAGTACTGAGTATCCTTTAAAATACCAAGGGATGAAAAGGTAAGGAAGAGATTTGTGTTAACGAATCACTATTTTTCTGGCAGTACATTTCAAGACATTTAAAGTATTAACTCTTACAATAATTTTCTAATTCATATGTAATTATTTTGTCACACTATATTTTCTGTTATGCTGAAACATTTACAGATATTAAATGTCTTTTTCCTATTTCTTTTTGTCTATTTAATGTCAAAGTATTGATTTTAAGCTAGATTGATTATCTCTGCCTAGGTTGTAGCATGGTGTGAGTGGTGGTTGTGGGGGTGGGAGTGTGTGTATTTATATAATTTTCCTCTAATGGCATCTTAATGGCAGGGCAAATGTATATCTGATATCAACAGTAGGACAAAAGGCTATTACTTTTCGTCTACATGTACTAGATATGTACTAGATGCAATAGCACACATAAAGTGTGAGATTTTGTTTTTCCACTTGGAATTTCACTAGTCACAAATGGAACACAGAAATACATTTTATTGGTCAAAACAACCATAATTTCCTCCAAGTAGCAAGTTTCTCAACTATGAGGCATGTGTAGTGAGAAGTGAGAAGCTGGTTGTAGATCATCCATCACGCCGTGCCAGGAATTTTCCAAGGTTTCACTTCCTGGGTCATTGGCATTGAGGTGAGATTTAGCGTAGAACGACCCTTCACTAGTAGTGTGAAGTTGTCTATACAGATTTAGCAGTAATACATACAACAGTTAAAAGTCCCCATCCCCTTTATTCTCACAGTAGTGATTCTTTCTTAATTCTGTGTATTCCTACTCCAGAGAGAACTGGTAAGGGGATGGACAGAGTACTTTAAACATTAGTTTACACTTGTTAAAGCTAATAAAAGTTTCAGAAATCAATTTTGAAATTTTTCTTTTTAAAATTGTTCCCAATAATAGTTTATTTGTGGCTTAGAATTATTGGTATGAATATCTTTCTTTTATGTAAAATACATCATTAGATGAGGTCGCTTTATACAAAGCATGGCTAAATGCCCAAGAGAAAGCAGAATGAGTCTAGCGTCATAGGCTACAGATTTATATTCCCTGTCACTAGGCTGTTCTTCATCCTGCTGTGGTTTTGTTAACACAGAGGAAAAGGGAGAGGGAAAGCAGTTTGTTCTCTGAAGTGGTTGGAGAAGGTGATGTGAGAAGGAGTAAGCAGCCTCAGTATTGTGCAGGGTGTGTATCTGAAACACCTGGAATACCTAAGTCAAGTAAGGAGGTCACCAAAGAAACATGTATTCTGATGTCCAGATTAAGAACTTTAGATAGTGTCCATGGATATTGGTTCTGTTAATAAGTAAGTTGGAGTCAGTCATGGATTAGGGAGGAGTTCATGGGCATGGGTTCTCTTCCTGGTGAACTATTGGCAACTGATGGTTTGTGGAGATAGGCTGTCATTGTCTTCATTTATGTGTCAACTGGGTTCCAAACCGGTGACACATGAATGACCCATTAAGTTACAAAATAAAACAGAAAAATGTATATATAGGAAACTTGTGGGGATGATAGTAAACAACATACAAAAAACACGTATCAAGTTGTCAGAGAACACAGTCGATCAGTAAACAAGAGTTGGTTGCTAGAGTTACTGGGTAATTAGAATAGACCAGGCGTGGCTCAGTAGGCCTCCACTCTAAGGAAGTGGTACAGTAAAGGGGAAGGCACTTTTCATGAAGTCGGTTGGGATCGTTGGCAGAAATGTTGGTGTTGTCTCAGAATATAACCATGCTCACCGTGGCCCATGCCTCAGGACACAAAAGAATTGAGAGACCTTATTCTTGTGATATGGTAAAGCCTTTGTCACTTGTATATTAAGCCTGCTGTTACTTTATACTTTACATTATAGTACATAATGTTATGAATAGTTAGGAATCCCTTTATGGAAGAGACTGCACATCCTTATACCACTAAGATTCAATCTCCACTGAGACTATGTCTGTGAGCGTGTTCATAAACACAAATCTATATCTGTGGTTTTGTTTATGTACCATTTGACCCTGAAACTTTTTATATATGTCTTTTTGCTCATTAAAATCGGAGTATTAGTTTTGTATCACTTTCCTTACGATGTTATTGACAGATTTAAGATAGCTATTTGTCAGATATAATCGTGAAATGAATATTAATATTGATGTTAGTCTTAGTACATACATAATTCTAAAAATTTTATATTTTTAACATTTATAAAGATTTGATCAAATAGTACATGTAAATGTGTAGTACATGTAAAAGTAATTTGTATATAAATATATGAATACAAATGAATGCTAGAGAAAAAGATTAAAATTGAAATAAAGCTTCCTTAAGGATCATCATCTGTCGTATCCATTTGCAATGAAAGGTTTTTTTTGTTAAATAATGACAACAGAAATGAGGCTGAACACTAGAAACCCACCTGTGAGCAGAGGACAGGAGTTTTACTTCATTTCCCATTATGTATCATTGGCACTCTGTGAGTACAGACTAAGAGAATCCTTATAGGTAGATTATCCAAAACATTTTCTAAGAAATGAATTGGTACAATGTAGACTTACTCTCACATCAGCTCTGCAGAACAGTTTTCATAACAGAACGAGAGCTATGTGACTCAGGACTTTAGTGATGTTCAAACTTCAGTGGACTCAGGCCTGTGTGCTAGGACTGTCTTGAAAGTTTAGTTAGAACATGTGATGTATGATGGTGTAGGGTCGGGTAGACAGCACTCCACAGGGCTGTGGGGCTCACCTCTCATAATGTTCAGCACTAACAAAGAGTGGTTTGATTCCTAGTTTATTTTTTCTAGAAAAAGTTCCAATGCTATAATAGCTGGAATAGTTTGAAAATCATTTATAAAGAGAAGACATCAGAACATAAAAGAATAACGTGAGGAGTTGGGTATTAGTATCCGACATTGAGTAATGAGTCCTGGCACAAACTCAGATACAAGTAATATACCTGGCTAAGTTCAGTTATATAAATATTATCTCTGTGTAAACTACCTCATTGTGGGAATGTATACTCTACCTAACTTTACCTGACTTCCTCCATTTACGTAGGCGTAGCCTAGTGGTACAGTTTGCACTTTTGCTGATTAGGGATGAATCAAGAGACTTGGTGGTGCTGTGTTCACATATGCAACAGGAGAAATAAAGACGAGAAAGTCAGAATTAAGAAATGGAAGAAAATCTGAGCTAACATTCTATTGTTTTTCTCATTATTTGACATGTGAACAGATGCATACTATATATTTCCAGAATTGGTGAGTTCTAAAATCTTAGGAATAGATATTATTAAAAGTGTTTTAATAGCATGATACGATTGATTTGTGAAGTAGAGTGATCCCATCACTATAACCCCTGGCATCTTTGCCCATGGCCTGAGCAAACCCATGAGTTGTAAGCACATATGAAGTAGAGGAGTGGTGTCATTTGTCTTGTTGTCGTGATGAGCTATGTGACAAGAGCAACATTAAACAAGGGTTTGTTTTAACTCACTTTTTGAAGGAGATGCAGTCCATTATGACATGGAACTGTCAGCAAGACGTGGTCACATTGCATCTGCCTTCAGGTATCAGAGAGAGATTAGCACTGTGTTCGGCCAGCTCCATTACTTCTTTTCCTTTTTATTCTGTTTGGGATCCTAGCTCATAGGGCGGTGCTACACACATGCATAGTGGATCTTCTCCCTTCCAGTAAGCCTCTGAGATGTGCAGCAGCCCAGGCTGTCTCTTTGAGATTGTAAACCTAGACAAGTTGACAGTGAATACAGATAGCAACTAGCATGGCTGTTGTTCATGCTTCAAATGTCAGGGTCAAGGGCCTTCTCAGTTGGTTAGATCGCACCGTCATATGCTTGCTTGATTATGTACGGCTTATATAAGTGACTGTTTTTGCTACATGAGTCAGGTATTTAGAGTCATGAAGTAATACTTTTGAAATTCAAGAAAAACTACATGTATATGCAGAGAGATGCTATGAAAATGGAAAAATTAAAAAGGAATCATGACAAATATATTCTAATAGTCTCGAATTGCCAATAATGCGTGTTACTGTAACTAAAGTTGTGTATATTTTATGAAAACTGAAATTTTATAACTGGTTTTAAAAAACTGTATAATTCATATGTATTATGAAAGTCTGAAAAATCAAGGCAAACTCAAAGATTGGTAATTGCAATATACAAAGAATTGATTGTCCTGTTCACATTTGTCCTTTATCCATTCTGGAACATTATATTTAGATCCAGGAAAAAAGAATAGCAGATTTTATTCGCACCTGTCTGTGGTTTCCTTGACAACTACTGTAGATGCTGCTATCACCATGGGGATGGTTCTTCTAAATGAAGCAGCAACTTCCAAAGGGGATGTCGGGAAAAGACGGAGTGAGTTGATGTTGCTGTATTTGTTGTTCTGTTTTATTCTTAGGATATATTTCATTCAGAGGGGAAACAGAACAGCCCTTCCTAAACACAGGCTTCCCTAAGAAGGAGTCTGTGCTACAGGAGTTAAGGTTTTGTTTTACTTTTTTCTTTATTGACTGTATGTGAGAATGAACTTAAAAAACAGCTCTTCCAAAATGTCATTTGGGTGCTTTCTGCCTGGTACATGCACAAGAGAGGGAGGTGGCATCACTCTGTCAGGGCTGCTCTGGCCCATTTCTGCTACAGTTAGTCTCTGCTGGGACATCCTCACTGCACAGATGGACAGTCTTGAGAGATTTTATTGGCAGTAATATATTTTTATGTCATGAAACTCAGGGATCTCAGGGAAGCCAAGGCAGAAGTGGGAGCTGCTGCCGAAGCATCTTTTGTGCACAGACACTTGATTAGTGTCCAGTTACCTCACATCTTTTACTGACATTTAGGAGCACATGGGGGTCTCTGTTCCAGGAAAGGCAAGAACTGCCTTTTCCAAGGACTTAGCTGTTATTGCTTTCATCTGATTTACAACCCTGTCAGATGTCAGATAAAGTTTAAGCAAGGAAACTTATCCTTTGATGGGACTGTTCCATCTCAAAGGATTGTGGGAAAGAACTAATGGATGCTGCTACAAGCAGAACAGAGTGTCTGGGGAATGTCTTCTGCCCAGATAATGGTGGGTCAGGAATGCACAAGAGCTTGAGGAGGGGTTTCCTGTCACATAGCTTTTGACGGTTAATGTCATGGTTTTCTAAAGCAAATAATTCAGCAAATATAGCTACAGTGTGCAGCTTCTCATTTTATTTTATAATCCTTGAACTTGTTTCACCTAAATTTTGATATAAAAAGCACTTATGTCCCCAAAGAATATTAGTTAAAATATTTAAAATAATCTAGATTTGAATTCCTTACAGTATTATTAAGTATTGCGTGTTAAAGAGCCATAGAGACTTCTGAGTACTTAACAGCATGAAGTATTGAAATGTGAGGAGACAGTGTAGAGCTGGCCTGGCTTCAGTGTTCCTCTGATGATTCTTTACTAATATAAGGAAACTCAGAACTGAGGCTCATTGCCTTAAGCATGGTGACGTCAGTAAATGCTGTGTCTTTGGATGCTGCTCTTGGGATGGTCAAGGCATTTACATGTGCTTATATATTACTATTCTATCCTCTGATCTAAATTATAGTGAGGTATGCAATGGGTTGTTTAACCTCACATCTGAGATAAATTGATACATATGAAAACATTGCCTTGAACTGCCATCTTCAAAGATGGGCTGTTGTAGCGCCTGTTCCCTTTAAGTCTGCTTCTGGTATTGAATTGTACAACCCCTGAGATTATCTCTGTTGCCCATGCAGCAGAGTGTGGGCCTCATTGAGGCCTCTCTCCTGCGGTTACATCACAGCCCTTCCATTCCCATCCTGAGATTCTAGAGTAGCAATATTTTGATCTCACTACATAGAATCACACTAGTGCATCTGTTTGCTTAATCACAGATGTGGAACCTCATTCTCCACTGTTCTATTCCTCTTCTAAACAGAACCATTAGAAAATAAAAGAAAAAAATGTGGTAGAAAGTGCTATTGAGAATGTATGAAATAAAAAGCTCTAAGCTTACTTAGAAAGTTGGAAGGAATTATTACAAACTATATAAGCTGGTTTGGTATCAGCCATACTTGGATAATATGTGGCATTTGAAATGGTATTTTACTTTATTATTGGGGAGTATTCATGTGAAGCTAACAGATCAGTGATGTCAAAACAGAAGTTGTGGCTGAATTCTACTAAATGCTCCTGATGTTTGATCATTTCTACTGCAAACAGCAATCGATATTTCTGGAAAAAAAAAA